CCGGGCTGGGGATTCGAACCCGCCACCTTAGGTGTATGTGGCTGGCGCCTTAGCCACTTGAGCACTTGAGCCACAGGCGCCGAGCCTTTTTTTTTTTTTTTTTAAGTCTTCCAGCTTTGCTGTAACTTTCCTGCAGACAACATTCAGGAATGCCAATTGATCTCTATACCAACATCTACAACATGTCAAGTTAAATGGATGGAATCACTATCATATCAAAGAAAACTAACATTATTACTTATTATCTAATAGATAGCTTCCATTCAAATTTCCCCAATTGTCCCCAAAATGTTCTTTATAGCTTTTTTTTTTACAAGGATGACACATTGCATTTAGTTGTTGTATTTCTTTATGTAGATCAGTCCCCCTATACCTTTTATTGAGTTTTGCTGTTCATAATACTGACATTTTTAGAGATCAAAGGCCAGCCTTTTTGCAGTGTGTCCTATAATCTGGATTCATTTGATTATTTGCTCATAATTGGATTTACATTAAGCATATCTGGCAATAATTCTCCACTGATGATGTTGTGTACTTCCCATTCAATCAGGCTGTCTCATTACAACGAGTTAGCTTTCTCTTTAGTTTGTCACTGTGGCACTAGACAAGTATCACCCATTAAATAAAATGTTAAAAACAATAAATAACTATAATGTTAAAAACGGCTACCATGAGCATCAGCTATACCAAGCATAGCGTCAGACATTTGAAATGCATTATCTCATTTAAACCTCAACAACAATATTGCAAAGAAACAGAGGTTTGAAGAGATTACATAATTTGTCTGAGGACATATGCAGAGTGATTAAAAATGTGTGCATGTACATATGAACTCCAGCACATACGTACAATTTAACATATGATCGCAGGAGTTCATGGTCATTCTTAGACCTACCATGGAGGAATTAGGAACTGCTCTGTTAGGTTAATCTTGAAGAGGCCTACCTGATTTTCAAGGGTTGGATTCCCATGAGGAAGAAACTGAAAATAAATCATTTGTAATCCACATAAGATTCACTGTATTCTTATTTGGAGATAGATACCAACTCCACACTACAGCCAAGAAAACAGGGCAATGGGGTTTCCTAAATTATTACAACATGCTGATGTTTTGCTTGTCTTTTTTTCCTACTCTAGAACAAAATAAAAACAATGTTGAGCATTTTTCATACAGCTAAATATATTTTTATGAGATAAAAAGTGAGAAGTTTCCTTCAGAGTAAAAGAGGAACAAAAAAGAAAAAAAAATTTTAATTTCAGTTTAGTATGAAGGTACAGACATTTTGGTTACACTATCTGCATTTGTCAGGTAAAGTTCAAGTTGTACCATGTTTCCCCGAAAGTAAGACCTACCCCCAAAATAAGCCCTAGCAGGATTTCTATGCATTTGTTAAATATAAGCCCTACCCCGATAATAAGACCTAGTGATGGGCATGGCTATGCAGCTTATCTGCATAGCCACACCCTGCATTTCAGCCCTGAGCGGTAAGGAAGACTGGAATACCTTTTATCTGCCACAGCTCCTTTCTCTGAGCCTTTCCCTCTTGTGTGGATGCACGTGTGCGTGTACCGTGGTCACAGGCATGGACCCATGCGAATGGCTAGGGGAAAGGAGTTCACGCATCACTAGCACCAGCCCCACCAACAAGGTCAGCTCCCTCTGTCAGGTTCCAGAAGATGACTTAACTATATCTGACTAAATGTAGATTGTTGTATTATACTTAATAAAAATAAGACATCCCCTAAAAATAAGCCCTAGTGTGTCTTCTTGAGAAAAAATATAAGACACTGTCTTATTTTCGGGGAAACACAGTAGTTATGGCCGTCACGAAGGAGGTATATCTGATACCCTTACATTGTACCCGTTAGGTGAGAGCACACCAATCCCTCTGCTCACTCCCTTCTTCTCCTCTACCCCTGCCCCCTGTCCCCCAACTTGAGTTTAATCATTTTTCTCTTGTGTGGGTATGTATTTATTTGTCTACTGGTTTCATATTAGTATTGCATACAGGGACACGTGCTTCTCCATTCTTGTGATACTTTACTAAGTAGAATGTTCTCTAGCTCCATCCAGGTTAATAGAGAAGATGTAAAGTTGTCTCCATTTTTTTATTATGGCTGAATAGTATTCCACGGTATACAAATTCTACAGTTTATTAATAATACATGGAACTCCTTTTTTTTTAGAGAGAGAGACAAGAGTCTCACTTTATCAACCTTGGTAGAGTGCCGTGCCATCACAGCTCACAGCAACTTCCAACTCCTGGACTTAGACGATTCTCTTGCCTCAGCCTCCAGAACAGCTGGGACTACACGCACCCTTCACAACACCTGGCTATTTTTTTGTTGCAGTTCATCCAGGGCCAGGTTTTAACCCACCCACCACCCTCGGTATATGGGGCCAACACCCTACTCACTGAGCCACAGACACTGCCCAATATATGGAACTCTTCACAAATTTGTGTGTTATCCTTGTATAGGGGTCATGCTAATCTTCTCTATATTACTCTAATTTTATTATATGTGCTGCAGAAACCAGTAGAAAAGAAAAAAATTAAAAATTAAATAAATAAAATTAAAAAGTTAGAGGAAACTTTTTTTTTGGAGATAGTCTCTCTGGTCATCCTCCATAGAGTGCTGTGGAGTCATACCTCATAAGAACCTCAAACTCTTGGGCTCAAGTGATCCTCTTGCCTCAGCCTCCCGAGTAGCTGGGACTATAGGTATCCACCACAATGACTGGCTTTTTTAGAGATGGGGTTTTGCTTTTGCTCAGGCTCATCTAGAACTCCTGAGCTCAATCTGTCCACCTGCTTCAGCCTCCTGGAGTGCTAGGCTTGCAGGTGTGAGCCACTGAGTCAGACCAAGAGAAAACATTTTTAATTTACTATGGAAAAGTAACTATTGCCCAGAGCTCATTCAATTTTATTTTTTGTAATTTTGCTTATCTGTAAAATTCGAAAGCCTGAGACTCCCTGATTTAGGGAACTCCATGAGATTAGGATGACTTTTTGAGAAACTAACTTGAATGAAGGAAGTTCAGCCCCAAAAGAAACCGGATCTGAAATATTTCTGAATTTCCCTAAAAACCATCTACAAAACATTTCAAAGGCTGCAGGTCTCAGGAAACAAAGGGTAGGCTAAGAACATTTTACATTACTAGCCGATCTCTTTCAATATATTGCTATTTCCAGCTTTTGAATGGACCCTTAGTGACTCGGGATAGTCCATTCAGTCAACAAAGAGTCCCTAGTTCACAAAAGACTCTGTTAAGTACCTGGGTACATAGTCTAGAAAGCTTTTTCTTGCCTTCACGTCTATGTCAAAGGTCACTTGCCACTTTGTAGACATAGCCTCCTTTACGAGAAGAATGAATGCCTCCTTGGGGCTGTGCTTAGTATTGCCAAAGTTATCTCTCTGATGGTGATTATTTATACTTGTCTCCCTCCCCTGGGTGAATTCCTCTAAAGATAGTGAATTTCTATCTTACTCAATATTGGTTTTTTTTTTTTT